TTAATATATATATATATTTTTATATATAGGCTTCCTCTATATAAAAGGTAATAGAACTTTATATAAAGTATTATATACTTTTATTACTATATATTCTTCTATAGCTCTTATATTACTAGTACTAGCAGTTAAAACTAGGCTTTCTCCGCTTTTTCCAGGAACTCCCTCTAGGTTTTACGGCTTTTATTAATATTATACTATATAATAGTAAGTATGCTAGGTTGTTCTAATATTAAACTATATCTATAGTATCTGCAGTATTTACTGCACCTGTTTCGGCGTATAGTTGCTAGCTTATATTATTTTTCTATAAAAACAGTACTTAGGTAATAGTTTTAAGTTATAAAAGTCTATTTATATCTCTATACGTTGTTAATTAAGTTAACTAGGTTAAAGGCTATAAGAATAGTAATATAAAGCGAGAAGTATATAATATCTAAAAAGGTATTAGATAGGAAGATTGCTGCGTTAAATAAGCAGTCTATATTATTCCGTTAATTTTTAGCTAGCTTAGGTTCTTATTAGAATACTTAAATATCTTCGGTTATCCTACTTTCTTTAGTACTGTTGGCGCTGGCCCTAGTTCTATACTGCCTTTATATGTATTATTATTAGCAGCTTTTTTTTTCCTGGACTAGGTTAAGGTTATATATACCTCTAGCAGGGCCTAAAGCGTATATAAGCTCGGCCCCTTATTAGTATTATATTAGTATAGCGTCGCCTATCTTTTTAATATAGCCTATAGCTAGGCCTTTTTCCTTACGCTATATTTAGCACTATATACCGGGTGGTTTCTTTTATAGTTAGCGCACTTTTTAGTATCTATTGCCGTATATTATCTTATATTATATTCCCCTGCATATACTATATATCGGATATTCTTTTTATAGTATTTTATAATATACCTATAGCCCTAGTATCTAAAGCACTATATAGCTATAAAGCCTGCTTTATATCTTAAGGCTATTAGTAATTATCTACTTATTATAAATCCTTTTATAATAGCTTTATCTGCTATTACTTCTATATATATACTAGCAATAATTAAGCTAGCGTGTTGGCCTAGGTTCTCTTGCGCAGCTTTTATACCCTTTTTATTCTTTTATATTATCTTTTTAATAACTAGGCCTAGGTTAATTATCGCGTTAGCCCTAATAATATTATCTTTAAATATTTAGCTTTCTAGGTTTAAGTTTTTAGGTACTCTATACACCTTTATTAGCACTACAGGCAGTTATATATATACCGTCTTGCCTAGCACCTATACCTATTCCCTTTTCTTAAGCAGTGCTTCCTTTATAGCCTTATCCGCAATATATGCCTTAATATTTCTACTCTATAGCTTTTTTATACCGCTAATCTTTGTTATATCCGGTGGTCCGGCTGCTTAAAGCTTTTAGGTAATAGTTATATTTATATCTGCTGCGGTTATAGTTCGCTTATTATTATCCTTAATATAGATAGTAATTTTATAGATATTTATAGGTTGCCTTATATACTGCCTATTTCCTGCTGCCTTCCTATATTGCGCAGCTATGCCGCTTAGTATAGCTAATAGTATTGTGCCTGCTGCTGCTGCTGCTGCTGCTGCGGTATACGTCTTCCCGTGCGTTAATAACGCGTGTACCTCCTTTTTCGTGTCCTCTATTATCTTTATCAGCTTTTTCCATAGTGTCTGCCGTAGGTCGTTCGCGGTATCCGAGAGGCCGAATAGGACGCGTCCTGTAAAGTCGTAGAGGGTTTAGACGATCGCATTTATCTTAAGGGATTGGATTGGCTTATTCCGCAGGAGGTCTTGTATGCCGTGTGCTTCGTTAACGAGGTCTTGGACGTCCTGGTGGACGTTCTTAATAGGCTTCGGGTTTTGGTGTTGGTTTTAGCGTTGTTGTTGTTGTTGTTGTTGTTGTTGTTGTTGTTGTTGTTGTTGTTGTTATTAATACTATTACTAGGGCGGCTGCGCGTTAGGGGTCGCAATTCGCGGTGTACCTACCGCGACGCCGCCGGCACTACTTATAGGGCTTTAAAGCTGCGTATAATTATTCGTAGGGCCTTAGATAGCCCCTAGGGGCCCTTCTTAGGTTATATTTCTAAAATGCTATAGGGTTGATTATATCGTGTTTAATAATAATATATCGCCTGCTTATTTTAGACAGCTATAAAAGCTATAACTTACTTAAATTTAAAAAGCTTTATAAGGAGAATAATATTATTACGCTATATATACCACTGCACGCTTCGTATTTATTACAGCCGCTTAATATAGGCTGTTTTACGCCGTTAAAAAAAGCGTATAGTTGCTAAATTAAGGATCTAGTATATAACTATATTAACTATATTATAAAGCTTAAGTTCCTACTAGCTTTTAAAGCAGTATTTAACAACTTATTTATAAAAAGCAATATCTGCGCAAGCTTTTAAGGCGCTGGCCTTATACTACTTAATCTAAAGGCAGTACTTTTAAAGCTTAATATTATACTTTATATACTATTACCTGCCGCTATAAAAGCTTAATAGGAATTAAAAACACTAAGCAATGCTTTTAAGCTAGGCTTTTAATTAGTATTAATTTATAATTACATTTAAATATATTAAAATAGCTCTCCTACTATAATTCTTAAGTCGCTTAATTTACTTATTAGAGGCGCCGAAGTATAGATATATAGGGCTATATTATTACGCGATTAGGTTATAAGCTTTTAAAAGGTAAATAAGGCCGCTATAAAGTATAGAGAGCGCAAAAAAAAGCGAATTTAGAGGTAAAAAGTCCTAATAAAGGTATAGGGTTCTGAAATAATTGCTTAAAAGGAAGCTAATAAATAAATTAAGGGCGAAATGCGTTAAAATAGGAGGCGCCCGGGTGGAAGTACACGGCAGCAAGCGCGCTGTAGGCGCTGCGGCGAGATAGGATACAACGCTCGTACGTGTTAAAAAGATAAGGAAATTGCTGTAGATTAGACTGTAAGTTGTATTAAGTTAATATCTATTAGCGTTGTAGAGCAATTTATATTTTGCATCGCGTTTTAGTAATAGGGTGGCCCGCTCGCTTAGGTGGCCCGCTCGCTTGTGGAGTACGTTATCTGTACGCCAGTTTTATTAAAATTCTAGGTATCTATATTAAGAATACTATACTAGATCTTTATATTTTAAACGCGTTTAAACTAGCCCTAAATAAGCATAGGATCCTTGTATTTAGCACGCTAATAGTTATACTTTTAATTCCATTTAGATTGTATATTATTGTGGCGCTTAATAAAGGCGTGCGGCTAATTCTTGCCAATAGGTTATATGGTGGCCGATCCGGCGCGTTCAGCAGCTAGAATACTAGCTATCTGCCGTACGGTCGCAATTTGTGGTGGCATACCGCGTTGATCTATTAATAGAATCCATTGCTTTAGGCTCTCTTCTTGTGCCGGAGTAAGAAGGCGATTGATGCGTGGTGGCCGTGTTATGGTTGAATTCCAGCAGCGCGTCGTCTTAGTGTCATTGCGGGCACGTCGTATAGCTTTGCAGCAGCCCCAAGGGTCTTAACTTGGCCATCCTTGTAGGCTTGAAGAACAAGAGCTATTCTGCCCTCTTGATGGACGCGTTCTTGTTGTTGTGGTGTAGCCATTGTGATAGTAGATGAGGAACGCGTTGCGCGTTGCGAGAATCTTGGTGGGGCAACCACTAGCTAGGGGCAACCACTAGCCAGTGAACTACGTTAAGTCGAGCCTGCTCACCTACCGCTCATGCGCTTCACCCTCTACTCAGGCATATCCTTTCTCGGACTCCGATGCAACAGTCATACGGTCTGTAATCTACTGGCCTGGATCGTCTTTGTGGTCCACTAGAGATGGCGATGTGTAGGAGCTGGCTTTTGGGATCCAGGGTGTCACTAAACTGGAACCCACCTGATTGTTGTCTGCCAGGCTGCTCACCGCAGTCGACACGTTTGCAATTTGAGCAAAAGAGATGTACGCAATACGGAGCTGTATCCGAACAAACTGCAGCACTTCCATGAGGGCAGTGACGCTCACTTCTGGATCAAACGAGATCTTGACGGTAAGCTTCAGATGTGGAGACGGTACGGCGCAGTAGATACCCCTACACTACTTTGCACCATTTTCCTTTTTCTAATATTTGGAAGAAATAGGTTTATGGCCTATCGTCGTCAATTCATTCTGCATCAGTAGGCTTAGAATACGGCATATTATCATCAATTAATATCACGCTTCACAATATCACGCAGAAATATACCACTTTGCGTCCAAAGGACGAACATGGATGAAGTCGGACGAAGCAGTCGTGACTAATGCGTAGCATTTTTGCACAGCATTGTCTTTGTCGGGCCTCCCGTTTCACATCTTGCCACTCATGGCCGTTCCTGCAAAGGCACGCGCCTTTGCACAGTACATACATACTAAGCTTACTATGGGCCTCTAGCATCAACCTTGCGAATCAAACCATCCTTAATAGAATTTCTTCATCATCATTATTATCAACCCTCGGTCTCAGTTATTTTGTTTGTATTAAGGAGAAAATCTTGAAATAGCACGGAAAGCCTTGCGACTATTTTCGAATCGAATGACTATACGTGGTGACTACAGTATCGCTTCCAACTACGAGTCAGCTCTAGCATTCTACTACTTGATCGCATCGTATAAAGAGCTTCGCTTGTCCTTCATTTCTAGACCATCACGCATCTACAGTTCAATCATTCTCCTTCAGTCCAATCATTCTCTTTCCAAAGCTCCCATTCCAACTCATCTATCAATTTTTCCAACAAACCAGTAATCTTCATCATGCAACCATCCATTGTTCTTTTCCTCGCCGGCATCGTTGCCGTGGCCAATGCCAGTTATGACGCCATGCAGCCTCGCAGCAACGTCTATTCCAACACGGTCTTCTCTGGCACCAGCTGCACCGGCTCATCCACCAGCTTCGTGGCTGCTGATGGCCACAGCTGCACCACCATCCGTACGTCATATCCACTCTACTCCCCCTTCCCCTTAGGACCATTCCTCATCTCCGCGCATTGAAATCTGTTGAACAGTAATATACTAACAGTCCTGCAACACAGCCGGCGGTGCCGACAGCATGCTCGTGGACAATCTAGGCGGATGCTCCAGTACGTGTCCTACATCCCAGCCCCTCCACCCTTCCAGCGACGGAGAACCGATACTCAAATTTTTCACAAATGCCGGTTTACTGATTTCTGCCGAACAGCCAACTTCTTCCAGTCTACCGACTGCTCCGGTGCCCCGACTCATATCGCCGATGCGAACGATTGCGTCGGCTTTGCGGACGGCAGCCGGCTTGGCTCCTACACTACCGATTGCTAAACGCGATAAAAGCCTTATAGTGGAGTGCAGTGATTGCGGTGGTAGGATGGATGGCATGGCAAATGGTTGGAAGCGGGAAGTGGTCGAGAAGGAGCGCTAGACCTCACTAAATCCGTTCGTTATAGATAGTTATTTGTATTTTGGTTTAATCTTATTCGGTTCGGTGCTGAGACTTTTCTCTGCTGATATCGTGTGCTTGAGGAGCTTGGGTTCGATTCGCTGTGGCGTGAGGGTCACGGGTGCCTGGTGGATGACTCAGGGGGCGAGCTAATGGTGAATGCTGACTTCCTATTAGTTTTTGTGCCATAGGCCTTCTGCCTAACCTATATATACCCTTTATTTCGAGCCCCGTCTCTCAGGAAAGTTGCTGAATCACTTCGAATCATCTTGAACGACAGTAGGCCAGCCGAGCTCACCGTCACCCAGTGGCAACCAGCGAAGACGCTCGCCGCCGTCCCCTTGTGGGACCCTTTCCTTTTGCTGTTTTAAGCGTGCCCAGGCGAGTGGGTTCGACTCGCGCTGCGGCCGGGGTTTCCTTTTTCTGCTTTTTAACAGTTTCTCGGGAGAGGTGATGAAATAGTTAAGACTCTAAAGCCTAAAAAAGACTCGTTCTAGTCCAAAGATTCTATTCCCATGGAACTTTGATTATAACACTGTACTCACGTGGGCTCGTACAGATAGTAGCCACACCCTCAATACATAGCAGGAGTCTCTAAAATGCTTGCCCACTTGTATTCCGCACGCGATTGGCTCTATCGCTGTGCCAGGTGCTGTTCTTGACTCCTCGAAGCTCGCTCTGAGGAAAGAAGATACGTATGACTGACAAGAAAACAGTAGTGATAGCTGAGCCCCTTTACATTTTCACGCCTTCGCCTCCTCCCAACCTCCCTCATGTCGACGCGTAGACAAAAAATCACAGCTGCTAGATTTCCCCTACACGGCCCGTATGACCCTGCCAGCCAACTCCGAAATTTCCAATCACAGGCATGTTCAAGCCGCGTGCCTTATACGAGGCTTTTTCAATCAATCAATCACCCACCCAGGACATCCGAAACCCCAACCGGCCCCTTCTTTCTCAGCCTCATTCGCGTCACTACGGTCCCCACGTCAATCCGCCGCGAACGGCGAGCGAGAATGGGAAACTGCCGCGAGAGTGTGGTCGAGTGTATTTGCACACCCGCCATTGGCTTGCCCATCTAAGCTGCTCGCATGCTCCGGCGGTAGCCTTGTGGGTTTTACAAGCATGGCACTGCGCTCGATCGGCGAGAGGTTTTGGTATCGGGTCTGCGATGGGGCAGGTGGCGGGGGTAAGGGTGGTGGATGAGAGGGGCGAGGAGAGGAAGGAGGCGCATTTTTATTCTTGAATTGGGTTCGGGGTTTGTTTGGTTGGGGAGGTGAGGTTGGTTGCTGGAGGGGCTTGGGGGTGGGAGTCTGGGCGATGCGTACGAGAGTTGATGGGGAGGGTAGGAAGATCCTTAGCGCTCACAGACTTCTTACTAGGTCACCAAGTGCTCACGTATAGTTCGAGAATCATGCTCCGGAGTACACTCCATTTTATGCTTAAGGAACGAGCCTGTGCTTAAAAAAAAGCTGATCCTCAGTTGCCAACTATCATTAGCCGTGATCCGTATCGCCTTGACGCCAGCCAGCTACCATGATAATCCTCAGAGGAGGATAAGCAGTTTGGGATAATACTTCAATGAGGCAAGGTCCTAGCAAACTTATCGCCTATGACTGTCCAGACAATCGCTATCAGCAGCCAAGATGCCCTTACCCAATGAAAGCCCAAACAGTATATGCAATTGAGTAGCCCACCATACCGACTCATCATTCTCCCTTCGTCCTATTTCCAACCCTCGTCCTCCGCAGCTGCCACCCCCGTCAGCTTCTCTTTGATATCCATCGGGTGAACCTTGCGGCCCGTCCTATCGTAGAACTGGGACGCAATCCGGAGCCACAGGTTCCTCTGATCGCGGTGCAGCAGCCGGCAGAGCAGAACCAGCTCGTCCTGGCTAAAGTTCTCGTCCTCCTCCAGCTCGACGACGCCGTCTCCACTTGGAATGTCGGGTAGGGGATCGGCGAACGGATCAGCTATGGCAGCCTCGTCATCCGCGTCTTCAGCGACGTCGAAGTTGTGGATCTGCTGCTGCTGCTGTTTCTGCCAAGAACTCTTCTGGTTGTTCTTTTGCTTGTCGTTCTTCTTCCAATCGTTGCCGCCTCCGCCTCCGCCTCCGCCTCCGCCTCCACCTTTGCCGCCGCCTTTGGTGTTGTTCTTCCCGCCGCCTCCGTCCGAGTTGGCGGGAGCATTGCCGTAGCCATTCAGTTGCTTCCAACGAGCTTCATCCGTCGGCCTGATATCTTTCCACCGTGCCTTGACCTCCCAGACTTCCTTGCCGACCTCGGCGGCGATGTCTTTCCAAGCTTTGGCCTCGACGATTTTCAGTTTGAGGAGGGTATCGTCTTGCTGCGCAGTGAAATCGGTCTTTTTGTCGAACGCGGCGTCGTCGGCCGCTGGCTCGTTGACCTTAACCCAAGCTCCAGGGGCTGGAGCCTCGTCAGCTGCGGCGCCGGATTCCTTCTCCGCGTCCTTATTGTTGTTTTCATCCTTGGGCTTGCATGCAACCTTTTTGGGATCGCAAGGCTTCTTGTATTTGCTGCCGATTAGAAATGGGCTCTGTAGATTAATGTCAGCTTCCGTTCATAACACAGATCAGTTGGGGTATTGAAAAGCCGCACTCACAGAGGGTGCCGTCTTCTTCGTCTTGTCCTTTGCATAGGGCGTATCTTGCGCTCCGAGCGCGAAGAGGATCGTTGAGGTTCTAGAGACCCTACGCGGATGAGGTGGGTTACGCGCCATGCTGTTACAGCTGTAGTTTGATCGCCGAAGGTGAAGTAGCTTAGGTCATGTCTTGGTGCTGTCGTCAAGACGGTGAGATGGTGAAGAGATGACCGAAGACAAGGGTGAAGGTGGTCAGCTGGACGGGAGGGCCCGGCTATATAAAGAGAGAGGCGGAGTGAAGGAGGAAGAAGGTCGGGGCAACGGAGCGAAGGAGAGAAGGGCAAGACAAGCGCAATTTGGCCTTAATTGTGTCGCTTTCGATAATGAGACGGAGGACTTTCCCACCTGCACCTCCGTTGGCAAAGACAATACTAAGCCTAGTAAATTTGAGCCTTTTTTTCTTTTGGACAGAAATGGGGAGGCCTTTTGACTCTCAGCAAGATCTCGATCCTGTTGAAGTCTCGGATGAGCCATTGGGGTATCTCATGCGAAACCGTCTCGTGGGGAAAATGAGAGCTGGGGTAGCATGACAGATTATGATCCCAAAAGGACATGATCCGATTCAAATAATACGTTTCTACTATTCCTTGCCTACGACTAAATCATGTTGGTCTTTCATTACGCCTGAACACATGTTGATGCTGCGGAGGTCCTCTGGAGGTGTAATGCACTCAACATAAAGGAACTTTGAGGTATGAACCACGGCTCCAAAACTGACTATTTGCCCTACTACCTTCAAATCAGATGGACTTTTACCGAAATTCACGCTATTATGATGGCTAGATGTTCTTCCTTTTCCTTCACGCGTCGTGAAGGCATTCCGGTCCCTATCGACACAAAGACAGGCGCAGCATACGTAGAAAGCCAGAGATTTACCTACAGAGCACAATGTTGAAAGAGATGAGGATCTTTCAAGGTATTAGATATAGAAATGAAGATCGATGCGTCTGTCTTGTGAAAGGAGGAGAAGGAGATGCCCGGAAAAACGTTCCAAGATCCCCGAAACACCCCTGTCAACTCGTACAGTGGCATCTTCAACACTCCCTGAAAACACCACGGCTTTTATCCCCGCTCTCGCTCCCTAACGCACAAGAGGACAAGCAATCTATCCGAAGATGCTGTTCTCCTCCGTTGCCATCCTCGCGGCCGCGAGCAGCTTGCTCGGCCTGTCCTCCGCCCACAACATCCAGATGAAGGCGCATTCGCGAGAATGCTTCCACGAGCAGCTGCACAAAGACGACAAGATGACTGTGACCTTCCAGGTCGGCGACCGAGAGTTTGGAGGTAGCGGGAACTTGGAGATTGACTTCTGGGTAAGGCCCTATATATGCCTCATCTATAATGATACGCAATCGGCAGACTGCTTATACCGCAATTTAAAGATCCAAACCCCCTCCAATTCCTACGAGGTCCACGAGCGCTCAGTCTCCTCCGGCGACCACTCCTTCATTGCGGGCATGGACGGCCGATACACATACTGCTTCAGCAACGAGCATTGGTCCGCGAATACCAAGGAGGTCTCATTCAACGTTCATGGAATTGTTTACGTGCCGGAATCAGAAGCGCCGCAGGATCCGTTGGAGAAGGAGGGTTAGTTGAACAACAAATTGGAGGCATAGATGATGTTTACTGATACTGCGAACAGTCCGACAACTCGGAGAGTTGATCGCCCAGGTCAAGGACGAACAAGGCTATATTGTCGTGCGCGAGCGAACACACAGGAATACTGCTGAGAGCACGAACGCGCGAGTGAAGTGGTGGAGTATCTTCCAGCTTATGGTATTGATTGGGGAGGGCGTTTTCCAGGTCTGGTGGCTGAAGAGGTTCTTCGAGGTATTTCCATCTCCCGCGTGCTATCGGCTCACATGCTAATTTGTCACAGGTCAAGAGGGTAGTGTAAAAGGGCTGTAGGGTAAAGGTTGTTGCTTAGCAGGTTTGTCAGGCGTTGGTAGAGTCGAAGTCTTTGGCACTCAGTGTGAGCACGATGGGCGGCGACGTTAAACACAGGCGTAATTCTCCACCGATATCAGAACACGTATCAAATGAACATTCCTCCAGCCAACGAATATCACGTTCAACCAACCTATTTACCTCTACTTTTCTATCTCCATTGTGGGGAACTCAGTCTACGCAGTTCTCTCTAGATTCGAACAAATCGCAACACACCGCATTTTGGGGTTAGTCAGTCGAACGATAGGGTTGTCAAACATGTCCAGAAACCAGTCCAAACCATGCCTTTAAGCAAGTCCCCTCTAGTTTTATGTTTTCAAAACATATTAAAGCATCCCCAACAGTGATCAAGTTTTGATGTAAACTAATTTCATGCTTTGAGTGTAGACCTTCAGACTCCCAAAAACCTCCAGCAATGCCAGGTAGTCATGAGAAGGTGAAAATAGACACCGAAATCCCACCTAACGCCAAACGCCGATGCCCGCCTTCCAGGCCTCGGAACCTCGTCCAAGTTCCTCCAGAACCAGCCAGCCATGCAAAATACAAACCCCATATCCCACTGACTCCAAAACACCTACTCAATGCCAAGTCAATCCGAAATCTCAATAGCCGCAGTATCCTCTCTTTGCCGCCTCTTCGGCGGACTCTCCATCGCACTATCCATCCTCTCCCGCTTCCTCTTCTGCGCCGGACTCTCCACCTTCTTCGCTCTCTGTACCACCGGCCGCGGCATCTGCTGCTTGACTGGGTACCACCACAACGGAGCTCTCTTCTCCTTCTTTTCCCTGCTCTGAGTCTCGCTCTCCTCTTTTATCACCTTCACCTCCAACCCCAGCCCCACCTCCGATTTCACAACCCCCTCCCCCTCATCCTCATCCTCATCCTCATTCTCACTATTCTCCGGCGTCGCCCGATTCAACAACGTCGCCACATCCTGATCTGTCGCCGCAAGAAAGTACCCCTTGAAGAACTTCATCTCCGCCGGCGCCGCATCACACCCCCACTGCCGCACCACCCGCACCAGCCCCTGCTCGCGCCACGCCGCGAGCAGCGGCGCGATGCTCGGCTTGTACGCCGTCCAGTTGATCTCGGAATACCGGTAGGGGGAGTGCACGTACCACCCCACGCTGGTGCTGTCGTGGAACAGCGCGCGCGGCACCATGAGGAAGCGCGCGGCGCTGCCGTCGGCGATGTAGCCGAAGGACGTGTGGTCGTAGGTTAGCATGAGCCCGAGGCTGCGGTCGGCGGCGAGGGCGTGCTTGACCCAGTCGATGGCGCGGACGGGGGTGCCGTCGGCATTGTGGGTAGTGCATTCGAAGAGGGTGATGGGTTCGGTGTAGGATTGGAAAGGGGGAACGGTCTTTGTGGCGTAGACGTAGGCTTGGTTGATTTCGAGGGTGTTGGTCGGGGAGAAGGGGTTGATGGGTAAGCCGGCGGTGGGGAAGTGGTTGTCATCGAGGATGGGGGTGGTGGGGCCGCGGGGTGAGTTGGGCGGAGATGAAAAGAAGGGGGAGGAGGCCACGGGGGCTGGGGTGGGGTCCGGGTCCGGGTCTGGCCTGGGCTTGCTGTCGTTGGCGTTGTCTGACGGGGTGTTATAGAACATTTTGGATTGGCTGGCCTGGTGAGGTGATTTCTCATGGCTCTGGTAGGGGGTCTTTATAGGTGAGAAATGCGTCAAATTTGAAGGGTGAAGGTGAATGGTGAAGTGGAAGTCGCAAAGGGTTGGAAGTCAGGCGGCTCTGACGGCGAGTTGGAAGTCGTGATAGGGTAATGTCGGGGTTGCGTTTCAGGTAGGAGCGAATGCGAGATCTTATACTTATCTTGCCTGTCTTGTTGACGTGCTGGCTGTTCCATGGCTGAGTCATTTCTATATTTCGTAGGCTGCCTCGTGATACTTCTTCATACGGCCATCGACTCCTGTCGGAGGTGGCTCAGGGAGTTTACCGATTGCTCAGACCGAATATACAAACCTTTCAGACCTTCGAAAATGTGTCGAGCGATTCTGAGCAATGGTAGACAAGTGCCCATGTCCGAATGCTGCGTTATGGCCTCGAGAGAAGTAAACAAAAACAGACGTAGGAAGATCTCGCTATTACTAACAACACCATGACTTCAACCTGTACATACAGACTCACCACTGCTTGGTGATCTCCAAGATATCGCGAAGAAAAAGAACGAGAAGTGACTTGGTGAAAGGGATGAGTCAGACTGGCGTTTGAAAACTGCTACAAGAGTCTACGAAGCTAGGACTTACAGTGACAGGTCATAAGTATGTGCACACGCATTTACCACTGCTTAGGGTCCCCCCGTGGGATTTCAAAAACCTAGGCACGATGTCAAGTTTCAAACAGTGTAAATTAGGCTGCTTCTTGACCTACTGGCTACTTGCTAGCTGGGCCGCTCCTCGCAGTGGTGTCGAGTGAGCAAGACTGGAGCCAAGCAGTGATAAAATCAGTGTGCCTAGACTTATGGCCTAGTACTGTATATCATAACCAAAAGCTTCAATATTCTGAACTTGCTTGGTACGAAACAAACGACGGCCATAGCATAAGAGCGGCCTCTATCCCAGCTTCTACTCCATCTCCCCCAGCTTCCCCATCAGCAAAGCGTCTACCCTCTCCCCCTTCTTCATCTCCCCATTACCCGCCGGCAAGCACAACAACGCATTTGCCCCCTTGAAACTCCCGATTCGCGAACTCCTCTGCCCGCCCGTACTACTTGCATACAGCGCTCCATCTTCTTTCGCCACCACAAACGCACGATGATACTCTGGCCTCTGTTTATCCATCTTCACCGCTCCCTCCAGCACTACCTTTACGCGCGGGAGTCCAACGGGTTTAATGCCGGCAGCCTGGTGCAGTGCCGGCAGTACAAAGAGGTGGAAGCACACGACAGCGGAGGCCGGGTTGCCAGGAAGCGCGAAGATGGATTTAGAAACACGCTCGCCTGTGGATTCTTTGAGCGGGACGGTAGCGAAAGTGGTCGGTTTGCCGGGCTTCATGTTGACGCGGCCAAAGTGGATGGTGCCGCCGAGCGAGCGCTCGATGGTGGGCTTGAGGAGGTCGAGCTCGCCCATAGAGACACCACCGGAGGTGATCACGACGTCGCATTTACGGAGAGCGGCGCGGAGAGTTTCTTCGAGGGCGCCCGGTCTAAGGGGGTGCGTCAGTGTATGAGACAGAAGGAAGAGGCTAGAAGATAGGGGAAGGGAGGGCTCACTTGTCTGACACGATGCCCAGGTCGACTGCTTCAAATCCACTACTTCGCACTGAGGTAATTAGTGTAGGCCTGTTCGTGTCTCTGACTTCTCCCAGCCTGAGCGTGCCGGGACGATCGTGTGGGATGATCTCGTCGCCAGTGCTGAGGACACCCACAACCGGCCGCTTGTAGATCGAGACCTCTGTCGTTCCTACGGAAGCTAGAAGTCCAAACTCGCCGCCAACGACTGTGATGCCTTCGCCTTTCTTCATGATGGTATCGCCGGCTTTGACGTCACTGCCGACCTCGCGGACGTTCTCGCCAGATTGGATTTCGTCGGTTAAGATCTCGATCTCCTTCTCTTCCTTGCCATCTTCGGTCTTGCTTTTAAGGACTGTGTCTTCTACCATGACGACAGCGTCGGCGCCGGGGGGCAGTGGCGCACCGGTAGTGATGCGGGCGATTGAACCTTCATTTAAAGGAGCGATTTCGCCGGCCTGGGCGTGGGAAATGAGGGCTACGGGGTAAACGCCTTTTTCGAATTTACCAGATTGTGGAAACTTAATCTGGGTAATAATGAGACTTGCTGAGAGATCGTCTTTAAAGAAAGAAAGATGGCATGGAGAAAGGCGGCTTACCGCATATCCATCAACAATACTCGCGCGAAATGCGGGCACAGACTCAGTAGTTTTCACATCCTCAGCCAACACTGATCCTCCTAGGGCCATGTCTACTGGAACCTTCTGTACTGTTGGCTCGGGTGTATGCTTCGAGATCAAATCTAGAGCATCTTTTACGGATAGCATGGGGTACGGAGACGATCTATATCTACGCGTGGGTCCTTCAGTTAGATCATTCGACTGCGGCTGGGAGCCCGGATCAGTGTGAGCTTTTGGAATGGCATGTCCTCCGTGGCCATGGGAATGTCCGTGGTCATGACCGTGGTGGTGATGTCCTGTGAATTAGGTTCAAAGGTTAGCATTTTCCAAAAACGAGGGGCGTTTGCTCAGGACTATGTAATTTGCAGGGCGTAGGAGGTGTCGTCCACGTATTGAGGAACATCACTCACCATCACCTTTCGGTTTGATCGGATTTGTACCAGAATGAACCCCAGCATCTGCTTCCAGTTTTTTCACTCCGCCCGCGTGGAGAGAACGAGAGTCGGCACCGGCGGCTTGAATGCAAGCATGAGGTAGGAGCTTCAGCACAGCTTCTAGGTTTTCTTTTGCTCCCTTTGGTGATCCGGGAAGTGTGAGAATCAAGGTCTTATTTCTAACGCCAGCTACAGGTCTTGCCATTAGGGCAACTAGAAAGTCTTAGACTTTATATGAGATCATATAGGAGGAATGGAGACGAACATGGAGTAACAGAGAGAGATGCTGCCAACATCCCATGGCTGGAAGATTTGAGTCAATGAGAACAATACAAGAAGATGAGACCAGACGAATATCTTACACAAGTCCTGTTGCATGTCTATGTATGAGAGGTGTCACAGCCTATTGCTTGAGTCAGCCAGCTTGCGTCGTTAGAGAATGATCACCCTACACCTACCTCGGGCGTATGATCCTTCAGAGCAAAGCCTGTCCCACCGCTAGTGATGATGAGATTGACATAGTCTTCTTTATCTGTCCATCGCTGAATGAAGCGCTGGATGTCTAAAACGCTGTCTGGCACGATTTCCTTGACCGAGACCTCCCATTGATCTTTACCTAGGGTCTCAAAGACCTGCTCTAAGATGGGCGTACATTTGTCGGTCGATGGATCTTGCGATGCAGTCTCCGATATTATCAGAATCGCTGCTCGTAATTTGTTGTCAGTCATGGTGTTGGTGGAGATTTGAGGTTAGCGGAGATGGCCGGAGGTCCTTTTAAGACCAACGCCTTTTATAGTACTATATATTATAGTCATATTTCACGAGTATTTATTACACTGCAAATCATTTACAGCAAAATTCTCAGTTTCAAACGATCCATTCCTTGGTCATAATACATGCTACACAGTTTATATACACGTTGAAGCGGCAATGCTTGCGACTTGCAACTACCGCTGCGTCGCCATTCTAACTACACCCAGATTATCCCGCTATCCTGAACTCCTGATGCCGGATGAGTATCCACTGTGAGCCACCACTAGGCTATCTTAACATTTTTTATCCTTCCTATACTGTGATTTCACTAGGCAAAGTCCGGTGCGTTTCCTGCCACCAGCAGTCCAACGATTAGTCCGAAGAGTCCGAGGACAGAGCTGAAGATCTCGATGACTAGAATTTTGACGAAGCTAGGATCTGTGAGCAAGAGATGTGGAAGACGAAGGCTGGAAGAACGTACAGAGTTGGGTCCGCAGCATCTGCTAACGCGGCGCTGCTTCCGTTGATGCCCACTGAGACACCACATATCAGATTGCACATGCCGACGGTTATGCCACCCCAGAACAACGCAAAGCCGGTATAGAAGTTGCCGCCCGAGTATAGAGCCTCAATGTCCGAAATGGCCTTGAGCTTGGAGGAGAAGACAATAGCCATGATGACGCCGTAGATGGCGACGACTTCGCAGAAGATGATGGAGATCAAGTTCTTCGTTCTTATCCGTGGAGCCTTGACACCTCCGCCGAGGATGGATACACCGGTTGTGAATATGCCCCTGGGTTCTGGTCAGCCAGATTGCTTTCCTGACAATGGGTTCGTGTACATACCATGCCGCTCCGACGACGGATAGCCCAATGCACATCCCGATGCCTAGATCCGCCCATACATAAGGTGAGACGCTCTCGAGGAATGCTCCGACCTGGACCAGTATCTTAGTATAGCTACTGAAGCTTCGTTGTGGTATATCTTACGTTGAAGGCTTCCCCCTCGCCATTAAAAAGCATATCTAGCTGCAATCAGTAGCTGCCTACACCCTCGACAGATTCCTACTCACACAAGCCGATCACACCCAACGTCAGCGTCGACGCGCCGAAGCCATATTTGAGGACCATAGTCGGATCGGAGTGCGGTAGAGGAGCGAGTGCGATGGTGGTGGGCTGGGGTGCTGGCGGGAGCTGTCCTCGATGAGCGAGAGAATGATGCGCCGCTAGCTTTAGATCACGTGTAGAATATATCTCACTTTTAGTGAGCAGAAAGGAAGGCTTGGTTTGATGCTTATTGAGACTGCTCTCACTTCCAAAGCCTGTGTAGCTTATCTTAAGAATTAAAACAAGAGACAAGTGGATTGTGAGCCTAGGTCACGTGTAGTATTGCATTAGCGCCTTGGCACGTAAGTGGACGTCTTTGATCTCGCCTCGCTGCCTGGCTCCATCTCTCCTACACCGTCGTCGTCGCCAGGCCCACCACCATGGCCGACTCCAAGTACTATGAGCTCTACCGCCGTAGCAGGTACTGCCTCTTGCTTGCGATGCGTGCTAATGGCGTTCACTAACCGGCTGCAGCCTGGGAAGCTCGCTCACGGACACGCTTGACGAGTTCATTAGCAACGGTGGCATCGAACCGCAGCTCGCCCTCAAGATCCTCACCCACCTCGACAAGGCTGTCGCAGATGTCCTCGCCGAGAAGGTCAAGGCGCGCATGACATTCAAGGTAAATCTAAGCGGTTACGCGCGGTCGCTAGTCTGCTGCGCTTGCTAACAGCTCTGCGCCCGCTGTAGGGACATCTCGATACCTACCGGTTCTGCGACGAAGTGTGGACGTTCATCATCAAAGACATCGCCCTCAAACTGGACAACACGAATTCCATCACGGCGGAGAAAATCAAGATCGTCAGCTGCAATGCGAAGCGTCCTGGTGATCCTGCCTAGATGGGTCCCGGATACCTTCGCGATGCGTTGCTTATTTAGAATTCCCTAGGTACTGAAACCGAGACACCTTCGAAACCCACCAAAAAAAATTGAAAGTGCTAGGCATCGACCGACGAGGACCTTTCTTACTCTTGCGGGGCTTTGAATAGAACTTCTATATCCAGGCGTTAGGGAGGGGTGCGCATGGTATGGAGTTAGTGGGTTTATTTGGCGCAGGCAGTTATGATACACCGGCAGTGAGAAAATGACACCATTTCCCCACATCGTAGACCTGATGCTTCGTGATCATGATTTGATCGTGGGAAGGCGCTGTTTGGGGTGCTCCAGTACTGATGTAAAATGGACCTCCATCGTGATTCAGACTGCCTTTAGAATCGCCCTATTAGAATACTGTCTGAAGTGCTTCAACGCTTCTTGATGCCTGACATGCAACATTTATCTTGTTGTGATTTAGGCAGCCTTGAACTGCGCTTTCCCCGCTGCTTGACACCGTCAGAGGTGCTCCAACAAGCCTTAGAAATCAGTCCAAAGCGTAAAGTTTGTCACATCGTGATTTAGACTAGTATCCGAGAGCCTTTAGTATCCGAGAGCCTTGTTTCTACCCTTCTGGCACCTTTTGAAGTGCTCCCATAACCTATATAAATCTCCAAGCATAACCCACCCAGCACCAATCGGAGTGCCGGCCGAACGCGGCTTCGACCTTGGCGCTCAACCTCGCGCGTTCTAACACCACGACATAGATACTGAGGCCGCCTGACACCAATACCAACTCTTCCATAATGGACAGACTCCGCTCGAGCCCAACCTGGCTCATCCTCGCCGTTGCAAGTGGCGCCTGTGCCTCCTTCAATGGCGTCTTCGCAAAGCTGTACATCTCTCTACTCATCACTCCAAAAGCATAGCAAGCAATATACTAACCCGTCTACCCAGCACAACCACCACCCTCACAACCACCTGGGCGCACGTCATCTCCAAAGGCTTCGGCCTGAGTCCCGGAAACCACTTCGTCGAATACCTCATCCGCGGCGTACGTTCCCCCCCTAACATGCCGTGTCACGGTCCCTAGTTTGATTCCCAACACATTCCGCTAAACCTGAACTTAACACAGGTCTTCTTCGCCCTCAACCTCCTCTTCAACGCCATCATGTGGGGCCTCTTCACGCGCGCCCTGACCCTCGCCTCCTCGACCGTCCGCGTCAGCATCATCAACACCTCGGCGAACTTCATGCTCACGGCCGTGCTCGGCGCGCTCATCTTCTCCGAGTTGCTGCCGGGGGTGTGGTGGATCGGCGCGGCGATGCTGGTCGCGGGCAGCGTGATTATCGGGAGCAGGGAGGAGGCGAAGAAGACGGGGGATGCGGGGACCGGGGGCGCGGAGCCGCTGCTCGCGGGCCAGGAGGGGTTTAGGGACGAGGAGGAGGCGGATAAGAGCGATGAGGAGGGGGAGGATCAGAGTGATTTGGAGCTGGAGACTGTCAAGGATGATGGGGAGGAGGTGGATGGGGTGTTGAGGTAGGTTGGGGTGGACGGTTGTAGATGGTGTGCAGGGGTGGTGTAAATATATACTAGGCTTTGTAAAGTGCTTCGGTGATGTGTTATTCGTGTGTCTTGGTTCTGTGGGTTAGAAGCTCGGGCGATGATGGTTGTGCTACTAATTCGTGATTTTGGGTTGACAGACTTTAAGAGAACGATCGCGGAACTAGACTTGAAACCCACGGCCATAAGGCCGCGTTTATAGTCGACTGTGCACCCATGATAGTCACTCACCGAAGCAGCTCCAACAGTAGTGAAGAAGGGTAGGTACCCATACTGTGTTATGCCATCATATCAAAAAGCTATCTACTCCCCACCCCCTTAAACAACACCGTCAAACAGCCCCCCAACCCGCCGATCCGCCTCAACCAAGCCCGCCACCTCACTCTTAAAATCAACGTCCCCATCCGTCTCTACTACCTCAACCAGCATCTCCGCGGCGGCTCTCAAAACTCCCTTCACCCCTTCCAACCCCTCCACCTTACCATTCCCCACCAGCTCCTCCGATTCACAGATCCTCACCCAGCACACGACTAGCCCCCTAACCACCTCCCCCCTATGCACCGATATCCTTGGCCACGCATTCAACATCACAGCCTGTATCGCCCTCGTCGCCTGTTCCAGCAACGGCGGGCACGCTACACCAAGAGGTTCGGACAGGGTATCTGCGAGCATGGGGAGGAGGCGCTGGAGGTGCTTGACGGAGTCGAGTTGCATCGCATCCAGGAGAGGGATGACGTGCGTGAAGAGGGTTTCGGCGATGCGGACGTGGGTGCCCGAGTGTGCGAAGGGGGCAAAGATGGCGGCGCGGAGGAGGTTGTCGAAGTAGCGGGAGCGAGTTATGGGATTTGGTGTTGTAAGGGGTCTTTTTGTGTTGCTAGATGAAACACTGGGGGGTGCTGTGGAAAATTGGGAAGGGGGGTATAGAGCGTCTGCCAGCGCCATGAGGGCTGGGATGGTTTTATCTAATAGGACTACCGATTCGGCTTCGGGGGTTAGGGAGGGGAGGTAGGTGAGGCAGGGCATGAGTGTTTCTTCGAAGACTTTTCCAAGGCCGGTTCGTGATAGCAATGCAGGGGGGGTGTTTTTCAAGAGGAGAGTGAGGAGCTCGCAGCCAGTCGCTTTCCATGCTATGTCGAGGTCGTCTAGGATTCTGAGGATTGGGGGGATGAGTAAGCCCCAGTTTGCTTCTACGCCTTTGGGGTCGAGTGATTGTAGGACCCAGCGGAGCAGGTCGATGGCGTAGGCCTGACCTGGTGCCTTCCAGGGCGCCACTTCGTCGAAACTGACAGTCTTTCGAGTTAGTGGCCGAGTGGATACATGGCCGGCGGGGGTGAGGTTGTTAAGATCGTTCTTCTGTGATGACGCGAAGAGGGGTCGGATGGTAAGCTGGAGGAAGTGGGTGGCGAGGCGGGCGGGAAGCTCACTTGTCTTTGGGTTGGGTTTAAAGCCACCTTTGGACGTCGCATCGACGTGGGCTCTGACGGCTTCGACGACTTCGGTGTGATCTGTGATGTCGGGGTGGCGGAGTTGCCAGGCCATTACGACGTTAAGGGCATCTTTCATCCATGGGCCGGGTTTCATGGAAAGGGCTTTGGCGAGGTCGGTGCCGGTCAGAATGGGCTTTTCAGCATAGACATCGAGTAGGTCAGACTTGGTGAGGTGGGCGAGGAAGGCGCTGTATGTGGACAGAATGGCTGGAGCTTGATTAGCAAAACCTTTCGGGATGATGAGTGTATTTCACGCTTACTTTCTTTTGAGATGGATCCTAGAGCGATGTCGTGCAAGAGTGCGAAGAGCAATTGGCTCCTCCACGACTGACCCCAGCTTCGAATTGCCATCCCTAGAATATCCCTGGCGCTAGCATCTTGCCCATCCTTCCGCCTATGTGGGGATCTTAGTTGGATCACACACTGATCTTTGAGGTTTTTTATCTCCTCAAGATTCTTCATCGAAGCTGTAATGACATCGGAGATCTTGTTCGGAGCCTTGACACCCTCCCATGCTACCAGTTGCGGAGCGTATAGCATTGGCCTATTCTTCTTCGGAGGATCGACGAGAGGTGCATCGGCCCATGCCATAACTGCAACAGACATCCAGGCCTGAAACTTCTCTTCCGGACTGCGTAGTAGACTAGATGATATAATGTCATCTGCCTTTTCGGGGCTAAGCATCTCGAAAACAGTCTCGTACGCAGAAGCGAAGTAGGAAAGCTCTGGTTTCGATGGCAGATCTCGAGTGGGGTCTGTGAAGATGGTGTCGTACAGACCGACACGATCGATCAAAACCATCGCCATGTGCGGGTCTGGCCCTTTGAGCATCTTCTCCAACTCTACCCAGATCCTCTCTCTGCTTATCTTCAACGCAAATGCCTTCTTGATGTCGTCATTGCCCATAGAATTTTCTGCTTCAGGATCTATGGTGTAGTTGAGTCTGCTAGCAAATCGAATCAATCTGAGAGTGCGCAGTGGGTCATCCATGAAAGTTTGATACGGTTCCAATGGCGTCCTGATGATTTTCGCTTGCATGTCTTCCCAGCCTCTGCCCGTGAGATCTTCGATTGACGACGTGTTGATGTTGTAGAACATTGAATTGATGGTGGCATCGCGTCTGATGGCATCTTCTTCTGGCGTGCCAAACTCGACTTCTGGGTTCCGGCTGTCGTCCTTGTACGTCTCTTTGCGGAGGTTCACAAAATCTAGATCGAGCCCCAGCAGCTTGGTAGTAGCCGTCTCTAAATTTTTTGATTTCTCGGGATTCCGCTCAATCTTTGCTATACCGCGTAGGATGTCTGGACCATACTTCTCGATACTCTCGGGCTTTTCTAGATATTCCTGCATCTTCTCCGCAAAGTTGAGCCCCGTCATCTTGTTGATAGCAATGTCAATGTCATGACTGCCCACCCCAAGCAGCTTGTCTCGGACCCAACCGCCAGCAAAGCGAAGTTCCAATGGAGCATTTTCGAGCTCTTCGGGCAACTTTACGGTAGAGTCAAGTGGATCGGCGCCAGAGGTGCTCTCAATATACGCGACGACATCCAGCAAAAGCTGGCGCAAAGTCGACTCGACCTCAGTGAGCTTTAGGCTGGACGGAAGTGAGCTTTTGTCCATCGTGCTGTGTGGGCGTATTTCAGAGAGGCTCTGATGTTCAAACTTTTGTCGTTTTGAGGTCTGCTCCTGGCGTAGGGCTGGACTTGAAGATCTTCGCGAGGACATCCAGCGATTATACGGGGAAAGATGATGGACCCCGGCCAGACGGACACTAAGAGCTCTTGAACGTATAGATGCTGAAATGTTTTGGGGATGAAGAAGAGTCAAAAACTGGCGTGGACAAAGACGTAGAGTCATCCGGGTGAGTGCCTGGATTGGTGTCGAATCTCTGCATTCAGTGACGATGACAACTACGAAGTACTAAGTTTTAATGGGGGAGATGGTGAATGAATGACAGCAGACTGCTTGCTATATAAAGCCGTGTGCTCGAAGGAGATGGTGCAAAGACACACTCTCAATTCCAATATATTTTTTGGAGGTTGGTTATCCCTCCGCGACAAACACTTGGACTCGGTCCCACCCGAACTTGAACCTCCAGCTGCATTGCCAGATGCGCCTCGACCACGCCTACTCACTGAGGGAACACTGATACAGTTTCCAAACAGCTACTCGCCCTCCTCCGATACCGTCCCCACAGCCCATGAGAAGCGCAACCTCGCCGGTCCCCGCGCGCACCCAGCACGACACCTGGAACTCTCGCGGGAGGCTCTCATGACGCCTTCGAACGATGCTTCATCGTTTAGAAGCCCCGCCATGTACGACTCGGCCGCGTCAATAAGGCTGCCCAAGCGGGGAGAGTCGCCTACCGGCATGGGGAGATCCACTACTCTGCCCTCACGACGTTCGAACTCGTCCCTCCATTCACTATACGCCTCGACCATAAGATCCTCTACATCCATCCCATCCTCTGGGTCTGCCACCCCCACCGCGTCAGTCATCCCGGGCTCAGTATTCTCTCCCGGAAGGCAGAATGGCACACAATCCCCCATGAATGCGCCAGTTGGCGGGTCGGACGAACTGCGGAGTCTCATATTGCGCGGGTTTGCGCCTCACGTCGCCGTGCATACCTCGAAGGATGTTGACGATATCATGCATGAGAAAGGGTTTTCTGGAGGATTTCTGGAGCTGCTGAGGCCATTTGGAGAGTCTATACCTGGAAAGGTCGCCATGATAGACAGCGTACGAGTGACTAGGGCTTGGGGCGATTTTGCGATACGCTTTGTCGCGCCCACGGATGGCTTCAAATCACAGGCAGTCCCCGGGAGGAGTAGTTTGGAAGGAACAAATGGCACTCGGGAGAGCGGCAGGCCGTCATCCCACACAATACGTACCGGTGGAGATCTTGGTCAAATCGAGGAGGTTGTAGAACGGCATTTGCAGTACTCTGAGGAGTATTCCAACAGCCCTGTCGAGGACTACTTGAACCATAAGACTGCATCTCAGCCAGCGGAGACTTCGGAATCACCGTTTTATACCCTTTTCCTGAAAAGAACACTCTCTGGCATTCCCCTCGTCCCATTCGAGACCTTTTCTCACCCAGTATCTTGTGTCCTTGCCATTAGTTCCCGACATCCGTCGCCGATAGAGGAGCTGCGACGGCTTTACAGTTCGACGTCTGGAGGAGATTACAGATTGCCCCAGTGGGTCCACCAGGATTATCTCCGATACTATGTTCTCATTCACGATGATGAAGAAGGGGATATCGCCAAGTCCAACACCCTCTTCGAACAGATGAAGCGGCACTTCGGGCTTCACTGCCATCTTCTTAGACTCAAACCTAATCGTTGTATCCCTTCGGATGACGATAGTGTGGAGCACCCTAAGTGTGAATGGATATCCGCGGCCGAAGAGCTGGCGAAGATCGAAAAGCGAGGTAGGAGCAAAATCTCTAGAGTTCGACTTTGGACTGATAATTTGGTAGAAACAACAGACGATATTGAGGATCCTACTCCTTATCTCTATGACTCTGATGTAACAGCTTTACGGACTTTCACCCGGGAATTGGTCGTCCAATCTATCATTCCTCACATGGAGAGAATGGCGGCTCAATGGAACGAGCACATTGCCTCTCGACGGCGAGGAATCTCAGGCCGCTTCATGTCCCTCTCGAAGCGTGCTTGGACTCCCTTCTCATCCAGCCGCACCTCCTCATCGCCCACCGCCAGCTCTTCCAGCTCCAATTATGACAGCCTCCAAGGTTTCTACCGGCCTGAGGCGCCCGAAGCCCTCATGCGGAAGCTAGCCGACTTTTCCTTCATGCTGCGAGACTTCAAGCTCGCGCTGTCTACCTACACACTCCTAATTACCGACTTCAATAACGACCAAGCAATGCTCCACTATGCCGCTGCCAACGAAATGGCGGCTCTGTCTGCCCTGATGAGCACCCAGCCGATCTCGTCCAAAACCCGCACGGAGAACATTGACAATTGGCTCGAGACTGCGCTGTATAACTATAACACCCGCTCATCATCCCCCTACCACGCCCTCCGCAGCACAGCGCTCGGCCTCGAGCTCCTCCGCCTTCGCGGCTCCTCTGCCGCCGATGATGCCGCCCGCTGGGGCCAGCGCATCATTGACGCCAACGCTAAGCTCGTCGGAGGAGTGGGTACAGCGCTCTTCCAGGAACGCATCAGCGCGTGCTACGCCGCCCGCCGGGGCGTCGGCAGCATGCAGCTTGGGTCGCGGCGGCGGAAAGCAGGCATGTGGGCTGCGCTGGCTGCGGACGAGTGGATCAAATTGGAGAAGCCTATGCAGGCTGAAAAGAACCTCGATCGCGCGAAGGCCTTCTATGCGTCACGCCGGCCTCTGATCACGACTGCCAATATGGACAAGGAAGGGGAGAAAGAGGCCATCCCCTTGATGCCGCTCAAGGGGATGCAAGAGTTCCTAGATGCGGTATACAACGATATAGTCTACCTGAAGTTCAAATATCACAGGCATGATGGCGAGGAGCTGGAGAGCGAGGTCGGAGAGGCCGCGGTGGTGGAGGAGGTCAGCGAGACGCTCGACATCGCACCCCGGAGTCATCGGAAGAGCCTTATAGGCGGCGTCGTGCCAGCTGTGCAGATGGATGCGGGACCTCTGAGTCCGATCCGCGCGAAGGGCGAGGAGGTCGGGTTCAAGGACGATAATTTCGAGTAGTTTGATCACTGATGTGACGATTTGGACTTGGCATGGCATTGGCGCTGGGGTTAGTGTTTCTATGGCGCTTCGGAGATGAAGGTAGGGATATCTATATGGCAGGAGAGGAGTTGAGTTGGCTTCGGCTTTAGCCTCGGCTTCTTTGATGATATCGGAGACGGTGGTTTGGTGGGTGTATATATGACTTTTCCGGTCCTTGAATGGTAGCTATGGAAGCTTCTTTTGATGTCACATTTCACGTCTCGCCACTCTCTTCTTTCGTGTGATATGTACTTCAGATGTAAGGCCTTGGCTTGCGCACTACTAATCCACCATCTACTCTATGTCCTCTTTCTTTCACATGTACGGGGCGGAGTAAAAGAATTTTGACTTGACTTTCCTCCAAAAAAAAAGGAGCAAAACACCAAGTCTTCGGGGGAATCCTCCGAAAGGACATCAACATATGGAACCCCATCTCAAAGCCCCCAACCCCAAATAAATCGCAATATTTTTCAGCACCTTCCATACTGAAGCAGAAGATCTGGGTGATCTCCGTGAGATCTGGTATCCACATAGAGCAAAGAAGCATTATACAAAGGTTTCAAAAAAAGAGCAAAAGATCACCCTCCTCGGGAGGGAGCGTGCAGAAACCTCGGGAGGTTTACTCCGTTTCGCGACGATGGACTTACGCTTCCGCGCGACTTTTCAGTCGAATCTATTAGATAGCAGCCATAATGTCGATTCCTGACAAGGGCGGGATTCGAACCCAGCGCCCTCACAGGTTGTCGTTGGGGTGCGACGTCCCGGAAGGGGACGCTGACTACTTTGCGCAAGGTCATTTGACCACTGCGCCCGACCGGCCTGCTGCTCGAATTAGTTGGGGATTGGCAGAATTACACCAAATATGTAGACTCGGACGCGCGGTCAAGCCACAGTCTTTCACTTTCTGGCGTCGCAGGTGGACTCGAGCGGAGGTGCTACGCCAGCAGTCATGGTCTCTTTTACCTCTTACCTAGGTATAATCAACGTGCACAGCTCACCCCCATCCCGCCCAACGAATATAACAGCATGAATGGGAGAAGGGCATCTCGAGGGTCCTGCGTAGATGACTCTGGGCCATCTCACCTCTGCCTGTCTTCCACGCCGTGGCGATATCCGCGGCGATGTTCGATGTACCGTCACATTCACTACTTTCGAAAACCTCTTTCGCCACCTCCGCCAAGTACCTTCACCACCCTACCTGCACAAACTGTGTCGATGCGAATCACCAGTGCGGCTATCACCGCGCCTGGTGGGATGCATTTGTGAACAAGAAATGCGCTAGAAATGAGATGATTTGAATGTGGCTGGGCTTGCCTATATCTGGTTTCAGACGCTCTGAGACGGGTAGGAAAAACCCGTAGTAGGTTGGCGACAAACAAGATGGAAGCAGTGAGCATTAGAGATTTGGAGGATCTACTCTACAGCACCATAAAAGAATGTTGTTTTCCTCATAAACGTCGTTTCTACCTGTATTTCTCTTCGTCCAAAGCGTCTTCATAAGCTCAGTTCATCATCAACTCATACCTGTCTACTCGATTAGCCCTAGTATACCCTCCCACGGCTTCAACTCCACCGTTCCGCTCGTAGCCTTCTCACTAAGCAGGCTCTCGTCGTAGTTTCCAGCGACCCATTTTGAGATCTTCAGACCGCCTAGGCCGTCCCATTTGGCGGTCTGGCCTGAAAAATTCAGCGCAACCACCCAAGTCTCGGACTTGCTTGACTTCTTGTATGAGAAGACCTGCTTGTGTGCGTCATCGAGCAAGTGAAAATCGCCGTACACAAAGGCATCCTTGTGCTTCTTCCGGTTCGCCATTCCGCGCTTCCAGAATGCATGGACTGAGAGCTCGTCAGACGGCTTCAGCTGCGCTGCGGCGTTGACAGTTTGATAATCATCGTTGACACGCATCCAGGGCTTCGCGTCAGCTGAGGTAAAGCCCGCGTGAGGTGAGTCGTCCCATTGGACGGGGGTGCGGGCGTTGTCGCGGGCTTTCCGTTGGAGGATCTTGCGGGCTAGGGCGAGCTTCTCGGGGTTGTTAGGGTAGAGTTCGTTGTTTCTGTATGGTATCGCATCAGCTCTGCTCTCGAAGATTTATGCTTCGATGGTAATACTCACTTCTTCCAAAAATTGATGGACTCAATGTCCTTATACTCTTCCGGCCCCCAGCTCGGAGGCACATTCCGTTGGCCAATTTCCTCGCCTTGGTACACGTATAGGGTGCCAGAGAGCGTCGTTTGCATCAGACACAGGAGTTTCGCACCGAGCTCTCTCCACTCATCGCTATCGTCAGTGTAGCGCGTCACAGACCTCGGTTGGTCGTGGTTCTCGCAGAAAATGGTGTTCCATCCGTCGCGATCGATCATCAAGCGCTGCAGACGGTTGACGATCTTGTTGACGTCTCGAGCATCCCATGGATGCAGGGTGAACTTGAAATCGCCTGGAACATTATCGATGTCTACGAGGTCGAACGCGAAGATCATGTTGAGTTCGCCTGATTTGGCCCCGACGACCCGGATGATTTCGTCTTCGTCGCGGACGAAGGGCATTTCGCCGACCTAGGTAACATCAGAGACTTTTGATAATTTCCGAAATGGAAGGATTATACCTACAGTGATGGTGTCATACTTGCTTAGAACTTCCTTTCGAATTTCCTTCAGATACTCATGAAGTCTCGGCCCGTTGGCGTAATACTTATCCCCAGGCTGATACTTACTCGATGGCACGGAAACCGGGGCATCTGGGAAAGACTGAACCTTCGAGATCAGGTTGATCACATCCATCCGGAATCCAGAAGCGCCACGCTCGAGCCAGAACCGAAGGACGTCGTGAACTTCTTCGCGGACGGCCAGATTTTCCCAATTGAGGTCGGGTTGCTCCGCTGTGAATAGAGATAAATAGTACTCCTGAGTCTTCTCGTCCCAGGTCCAAGCCGAGTTCGCTTCTCCGAGAATCATCGCCCAGTTGTTGGGTGGCTGTCTGTTTCCGTCCTTGTCGAATTTTGGCTTCTTCCAGATGTACCAGTTACGCTTAGATGATGTGGTTGAGGAGCGAGATTCTTCGAACCACGCATGCTACTAGTACATTAGCATCATAACCAAAGAGGTGTGAAAGCATCATGGAACATATTTGCAAGGTGAAAAGAGTGCTTGAGCCCGGAAGATGAGCTCCACTAACCTGATCAGACGTGTGATTGACAACAAGATCCATCATCAATTTCATTCCTCTGCTCTTGATCTCCTTGATCATGTGATCGACATCTTTGAGAGTCCCGTATATGGGGTCGATGTCTCTGTAGTCCGAGATATCGTATCCCATGTCCGCCTGAGGACTCCTGTAGACTATCGTGGTCAATGTCTAGCTTCAATGAAGCCCTGGAGTACACACTTGGAGAAATCCATATTACGTCGACTATCAGATGTTAGTGTTATGCTTAGAATAGCCCATGCAATCGAAATTGAATAAACCGTACCTCCTAGATCTTTGAGATAATCAAGTTTCTTGGTAATTCCAGGTACATCGCCCCATCCATCACCACTCGAATCGAGAAACGAGGCGGGATAGATCTACCGAACTTATGAGACCCTGGCTTCGGCGATAGCTGATCTAAAACACCATACCTGATATACAACAGACTCCTTCCACCATTGCTGCGTTTCAAATGCGGTTGAATTCATTTTCTGCTTCAACTGTGTAGACAGTGGGTGCAATTGCTACTCGACAAGCTATGACAAGACGAAGACTCTGTTTGCTCCCTCTCGACACACGTCATCGTGGTGGATCCAACCCTGCAGAGGACGATGCGGGCCAACCATTGTTCCAGTGCAGGAACGTTGGAGGTTTTGCCGCGAATCTGCCCGAGCAAACGGTCTTATCCGAGATAGCGAAAGCTGTCTATATTTGCACATTCCTAGTGCTGTCTATTAGACTTGCCTTCATCCATCATCACTATCACCTACATCATCTCCTTCCGAGCGTAGGTCATCAGCCATCGGGTTCTAGCCTTTACAAAACGATGTCTGCACAATGTAGGCTTGCCTCTGACCCGCGAACCAACATAGATGAGTTGTGAGAGAGATGTAACCTCGGCCCTTTAGGTTTTCAGAGAGCAATATTTCTCTTTACACCTGTGACAACAAATCCACTTTCTTTGCCCTATGGTATTCAACCTAGACTTCTCATACTACTTTACACGTTCCAGCCTCCAACATGCATGCACCTGAGTGTCGCCACGGTCTCGGATCTAAACTCCTCTGGACACTTTCGGCTCATATCAGTCGAAATCGCAACGCTTGTCTTCATTTCTCGGCAAACTATTCATATCTAAGTGCTTTCTATGCTGGTATTACTCCTGAAAATGAATTGAACTTATGAAAAGGAGGAAGTTACTGTACACCACACCGGCATCCAACGCCAAATCAGATCCACTCTCCAACACGCGCATCTAATCTTCTACAACCCACAACCCTAGGTTCCGAGATCCCAGCAATTGTATAACCCCTTTTCAATCCGCTTCTACACCGGCTTCCTCTTGCTTTCCAATCCTCCGGGATTCTGTCAGTTGAATCAAAACGGCCGCCCAATGCGCATAGGGTCATACGGCTCCGGCCTCAAATCAACCCCATACCCCGACGGAGACGGCGACCTATTCCTCGCATTATACTTCCCCGCAATCAACGAAATATCCTCCTTCGAGTGCTCATCCTGCAGCTGCTGATAGTGCTGGAAATTGAACGCGCCTTGGAAGCAAGGCCCGGGGTGAAAAGCAATGAGGATCCAGGCGGCAATGACCATCATGCTATAGGTGCCAAATTAGCAAACCAATCCGTCATCCCAGATGGGGTTACAGGATTTGACGGCTTACCTCGATTCGAAGACGATGAAAGGGACTTCTTTCCTCATCAACGCATTATCCCACCCGCCCCCCAACTCAACCACCCTATACACACATCGCACGAAAATCGCGCAGTAGCACCCAAACAGCGCCACCAAGAACCCCTTAAACTTACTGCTCGTCCGCAGCTTCGCAAACTGCGGGTTCTTCCGTCCGGGATTCTTGCGCACGCGCCAGAAGTAGTCTAGACAGCACATCGCGAAGAAAAGCATGAATACGATCTGGAGGATCAATCCTACCAACATGAGCTTGTTGCCGAGGTCCATCATGGACTTATTGTTGTCAGCCGAGGAGGCGACGCCGCCGCCGCCGCCTTGCAGGCACAGGCAGATCAGGTCGAAGAAGATGAAGGCGCGGGTGTACGTTATTGGTTTGACGCGGGAGAGGGTGACGCCGTAGACGACGACGAGTCGCGATAGGCAGAGGTAGATGCCGGCGGAGTAGAAGGCTGGTCCTTGGGTAAGAGTAACGATTTGGATGAGGAATCTGTTTACTATTAGCATTCGCCCTCCTGTTTTCTCACACGGAAGGGATTTTGGGGACAACTAACGTAATAAGCTTGTAAGGGTTGCTATGCAGCAATGCTCGCCCCAGGTATCCCGTGACCTCGAACAGCGACCCAAGTAGCATAGCAGCCAGGAACGTCCATGTCTTGAACTTCCAGCCCAAGAATACGTGGGCTGGGACCGAGAGCGCGAATATAGAGAGAAAAATGACGCTGGCCGCGACGTTTGGTGGGTAGCTCAGGCCTGAGCCGTCCGCTGGACACTGGGGCGTGATTTTAGTGCATTCGAGGGTTATGGAGGCGTTTGCCATTTTGGTCGCGAATGAAAGAAGGCAGTTGGAGACACTTTTAGCGCGAAGTTGCAGTAAGGATTGTAGGGAAACAGTGAGTCTTGCTGGAAGAGGAGAGGCGTTTTGAAAGCTGATGATGGCTGCTGCAACGAACGAGGAGTAGGATATATAATCAACCTACAAGGAAAGACCCAAGCTCTGATTCCAATTGTGGCTGAACTCAAAACTTCCCCTTGTAACACCAACACCGCCCTAAATTCTTAGCATAGTTACAACTTCAGGGTACATAGCTGGCAATCCACAGCTTGGCAAGGCGTAGCATTCTCGGCCGTGGTACCTAACGGCCGTCCATAGCCTCGCTTCCGGCCGTAAGCAACTTCAATCGTACACATGAACATCAGCGCGGTGGGTTTGCCAAGCTGGGCATGGAGATGATCGTGTCATGGACTACGCAAGCTCGCTGACGGGTGTTATCGATACTACTGGTACGTACGGTTTATTGTCGCGTCTGTATATAGCATATTGGCGTCGAGAACGGCTAGCGTGATATGCTTCTCGAAGCGGAAAACCTCACGACAGGGGTCGCATCCTGGGGATCGTCAGCAGCCTTACACTTAGTCATTCTCACCATCCCCAACGAAGGTTACGTCGCTTGTTATTCATTTTCATTCAGCCTCACAATGGTAGTTTGTGGTCCAGTGAGGGCGTAGCCGTTGTAGTCGCGGCTTACGGACGTAAGCGTTGAGTGACTGCACTGGTATAGTGAGGTTGATCGACACAAGCTAAACGCAATGGTACCTAGAGGGGCTGAATAATCGGTAGGGCAGAAGGTTTATCATGAACGATGCTCTGAGAAAAGATTAAAAGCAGAAATCTTTCGTGTTCCTGGTTCCTGCATACTGCATATTGCGACCTGCATTCGGTAGAGATACCGACCTGGATCCTTACTCGACCTCCATAACTTTCTCTTATTCGTTCCTCGGAAGCTTATATCCTTCCTCTTCGGGAACCTTTGTTGCGTCTGTCGAAAATGGGCCGCCATCCATCCAGGAGTAAGGGGTGCAACGTGTGCTTGAAGCGAAGGGTGAAGGTAATTCCTCCCTTGGCCTGTTTCTTGATTTCTTGATTATTGTCACGTCTAACGGGAAGACAGTGCGACGAGGCTACCCCGGAGTGTTCGCAATGCTTCCTCATGGGGTTAAAATGTCCAGGTGCAAAGCAAGGCGTGATCTTCGTCAACATGACCGCAGATGCACCGAAAGCGCCAAAGTCAGAAAAGCAAAAGGCGAATAAGAAGGTTGGGGCTGGAGTTGCAAAAAAGAAGCACAGGCAGCCATGCACTATTTTCTTCGAGACGCAGCGAGGCCGATGTGAGTCCTCGCAGCTAGAATCGAGTTGGAGGGAAGACCGCTCCAATGAGGCTACAACCAACCTAGTGCCATTTCAGGACGATACGGTGTCGTGGTTGTCTCCATATATCGAAGCCGACTTCCGATTGCCAACAACGTATCAGCCATACCGAGGCGTCCAATTTGACCAACTTTATATCTGCCACTTCCTCTCCGCATTCGCTTTCAATGGATCCCAAAAGGAAGGCTTTCACGTCTGGTCAAAAGAACTTCTGCCCATGCGACACAAGAACTCGACATTGATATACGCCACGCGAGCCGCATCCATGGCATTTTATGGGAGGATATGTCAGGACGAGAATACTGTAATCGAAGCCTGCCGGTGGTACTCGGCCAGTCTCCAAAGCCAACGAGAAAGTTTGGAGCTGGCGCGCGTGGGTCGGGATGAAAGAGATACTTCGGTGGCGGCAATCTGTGCTGCTATCCTTCTCTCCACCTTCGAGTCGATGGTTTCGACCACGCCACTGGGATGGCTGCAACACTATGAGGGAGCAGTCAAAGTGATTGAGATCCTAGGACCAGAAGCATGCCAAAGCGGATTACTACATAGCCTATTTCGTTCTGTAAGACACGGTTCCGTCGCGATCTCAATGACTTTAGAAGAGCCTTCAATCTTCTCGACTGATGTATGGAATACGGTACCTTTTAAGCTACAGCCTCCAAGCGCGTTCGATGAATTGGTAGGTATCATGCTTCAAATACCTAGCTGTCTCCCTCTCCGTAACGAGATGCAGAAATTTCAAGGAGTCGATGCGGTAGCTTCGGAACTATATCGAACCTATCTGGCCTCCAAATCGCAGCACATACTCCTATGTCTCCACCAGTACTGGGAGCAGTATCAGCAATACATCGACCCAAACTATGAGCGCCGAATGAACAGGTCTTCGCCTCTTTTTGGGGCGGATTACTCACCTCTGGACGAAGATGTTATATTCCAGGATTCATGCAGCGCAACGTACACGGCTCAATATGATTCAGCAAACATCGCGGCCTTGACTTATCTCACGGCTGCCTCGGTGGTACCAGCAAAATATGAACGAAAAATCGCGCAACATGGAGATTCCGTACTGGCTTCGATTGCCTATCACGAACTACTCGGTTCCTTCAGCGGTGGATCCTTTTCGATGATATTGCCGACTAAGATCGTGTGCATGATGTCTCCTTTCGAAAGCCAGAGAAGTACCGCACAAGAAGCACTTCGCAAGTGGGGCGCTGGGAGGGGGGTTAGTGACATATGCACAGTCGCAGCTCCCAACGTCCTTCGACCATCCACAGAAGTCAGTATACCCATGGAAATAATGTTTTAATCCCGCCTCTTCACCAATATGGATATTCGCTCTTAAGTAATCGTTCCGCCCTCGCGTTCGCCATTCCGTTCTCCCATACCCTCACTCCACACCATCCCACTCCTCTCCATCCTCATACAAACTCCAATGCCCCGCAAAGAACGCCCCAATACTCGCGCCCGCCACCACAGTGAACGCAACCGCCATCTTCGAGTTCTCATTCCACCAGCTCCCCTCCCCCGCCTCGCGCCACCCCACGGTCGCGCTCCAAACAAGCATAAACATCCCTAGAACCATACAACCTACAGCAGCTGTCAAGAAAGCAACAGGAAGCTGCCATGCATAGATCTGGGCTTTTCGGGGGTGGCCGGCAGGGTCTGAGAGTAGCCGGCGAATGCGCAGCGGGGCATCGCGGTGCGAGGACAGGCGATGCAGGCGGATGGTTTGCGAGGCGGAGGTTAGGAGGCTGAAGAGGGCGAGGATGATGCCGGAGTAGAAGGTTGCGCGGACGCAGACAGGGGTGGGGGCGTCGTTGGGGAGGATGTTTGGCCAAGAACCGGTGGAGGTGAGGACGCCGGCTAGGAGGGCAGACTGGGGGGCTTCAGAGATAGACGTAGAGAGTTGAATAAATGGGAATGCCGAGGAGGTTGGATAGAAAAGATTATCGATGAAGGAATGGAATGGTGTGCACATCAGGAAGTTTGAGACTGTAAAGACTAGACAACTAGTGCAACATCAACTGACCACAATACCAACAAAGTTCAATTCTTCCAGTTTATGATTTCGCCATTGTCGCGTTAACTCATCTCGCTCTGTCTTATCTTCGGTATTGAGGAGAATCTCGATTGGCTCATACGCAACCGCATCCGGGGAAACGATGCCACCCAAAAAGAAGTGGAAGATAGAGGCAATACGAGATGATGAAGTTTGCTGTAAAAAGCCATAACTGATTAGAACCTCTCGATGTATCTTGGAACATGTTATATACTTACTAGAGACTTCCTCATGTCACGCTCTCCACGCTCAAGCATGGGGCTATTCTCATCGGGATCGTCATTTCGAGCCATCTTTCTATTTATGTGGACTAGCCTTTTGTGAGGCAAGAATGTCTTCGGAAAGAAAGAAGAAGTTAGAGAAAAGAAAAAGGTTGGAAGAAACCTGCGAGATGGTCTGCCTGGACTCTGAAATGTTGATGTGACGTCGCTAGCATCCTAGTCCTTTCCGGGAAATTGCAACGTGACCTACTTAAACAGTCACTTGATCGTCCCAAGAACGGTGTATGATTCGCAACATAGACTTTTACGAAGAATGACCCTACCAAAGCTTACTTCTACGTTTTAGGTCCGAATAAATAACGTCTTAAAGTAAGCTGCAACTGTTATGAATACACCTCGCAATCTTTACTGATATCACGTGCCAATGTCACCTGACCATCGGAGCAGCGTCGGCATAAGCTGATACGAATAGGACATCAGCCAGCAAGGAATCGATGCATGTAACTGCGGAAAAGAAAACGAAGTCGAAGGCTCGTCGGAGCGGCCTGCGTTCTCGGGGGGCACAAGAAGGAGAATGACGGAGAGGACCAACCGTCAAATTGTGATTAGTTTGGATATGTAGGCAGTGAAAGTGAAAGCGGAGGAGCAATTCGTAGTGCTTCCTGACGATGGTGCTTCAGGCGATACAGCTGGTTGGCTATGATTAGTAGGATGCTTTTGGACAGCCCTCAAGTTGCAGCAGAACTCAGACCGGACTAGAAGTACGAGGTTTTCATCTGGGCGATTAAGAGTCTGAATGAAGTTGGACGGAGGAAGGAGTGATGATGTTGGTAGTCTCTCTTGATAACTTAGGTAGTGACGTATATCCAAAAAGCAGTTGCTAATCAAAAACTATCCGTACTATAACGTGTCCCTTTGTTTACACCCCATTCCGCTCGGGCTCGGGCTCCACGACCTCCTCCACGCTGAGATTGCTCACGCTTTCCTCGAGACTTACGCCCAATCGAGGACTGGGTGCCTTCTTGGTTCTCCCAGCAGCACTCTTTTTCCCTTTGCCCTTCTTACCACCCTCAACCACAAGCGGCGCCTCCCTAACCCAGCGAGAAATCGCCTCAGCCCGCTCCGTCGAAATGGGATACTCCTTCCCATCCTCTTGCGCCCAGCGCTTAGGCGGCGGAACAGGACTATTCGGAGCCGAGCTAGCTGAAGCCGCCGAGGCCGACGAAGGAGCTGCTGAAGTAGATGCCGATGATGAGCCATGCATATGCCCATTCTTCAGCGCCTCCTCGTCCTCTCGCGCCCTGCGTTCTCTCGCTCGTACAGCGCGCTGGAAAGACTCCTCATCTACGACGCGCTCGTCGGCCAGCGCGTCGAGGATGGCTTCGTGCTTCTGGCGTTCTCGCTTTTGGGCTTCGGTCTCAGGCTTGGGTTGATTGGGTGCGCCGGACTTCGCGAGCTCACTGCCCCCGCCATGACCGCCATTGTGGCCTGGCAGGGGCGCGGGGCGGCAGAGCGATTCCCAGCTCTGGTTGAGCTGGACCCAGTTCCCGGCTCGGCGGAGGACTTCGATCCAGTCGGCGCGGGCAGGGGATCGGGCGGCTAGGAAGATCGGATAGCCGTCGCATACGCGGGCGAGGCGTGCAGCATTATGGGCGTGACGGCGGAGTTCAGTCGGCGGCGTTTGAAGGAGGGCATGGCATAGAAGAAGAGAGTGAAGGGCGTCGGTAATGAGGGGGTGGTAGGTAATCGCTTCATGGGAGTCTGCGAAAGCAGAAGCGGCAGCGCTTGCTGCGGATGGAGGCAATGAATTGAGCAAGCCGCTGTTGGGGTTAGGGTACGGTGGGAGGCTTGACGGAGTAGTAGCGGAGAAAAGTTGGGACACTTGATATATTTCTGGTGGTGGTAATTGGGGCCAGTTCGAGCGGTCGTAGTGCTGATTAGGCTTGCGAAGGGGAACGAGAGCGTCGGATACTGGCGACGAGGGACTATTCGGCGAATCTAACAAACGTGGAGTGCCTGGTCCTTTATTGTGTTTCTTTCCAGGGCCGGTATATCCATTCGAAGCACTGTTTACTCGCCGAATGAAATCTTCGGCAACTTCGGACGAGAGGCCAGGAGTGTAGTCAAAGTGCTCAAGAAATGCCATATAGTCCTTCAGAGCCCGTCTTGCATTGGTCTTGACCTGCTTACGAGCCTCAAGGCGTCGGCGATGAGCCTCCTTCTCCGCAGGGCTGAGTGGGGGTGGTTCTTCTCCTTCAGCGAGACCAGCTTTACGGTCCTTTTGTACGGCCTCGGCCTCTTTCAGGCCGTCTAGGGCTGCGTCTACGTATTGGCAAGCGATCGTGAAATATATGCCCGCGCGATGAAATAAAAGTTGGGTCTCCAGAGAATTCGGCTGATCCTCCTCCTCGACTTTTACTTCAGACCTCCAATCGCGCCCATATTGCTCTTTCATAGTCCGCGCCAAAACCAACTGGTCTTTCCCCGCTCTATGCTGGGACATGCTGTATCGACACAACCGGAGGCCTTCCGTGAGATCTTGCGCCGCGGCCACATAGTCCTCTTTAAAGATCCGCGTCAAAGCTCGAGTTCTCAAAGGTGACCCATCCGAAGGCCGCTCGGATATTATTTCATTCAAAACGTCCAAGGGAGTACACTGCGCCATCATCCGCGAGGGTATCTTTTCGTGGAAAAAGTGCACGTATTTCGCATCGACATCGTTGGCACTCCGCTGCAGAACTAGCTGCGCAACATCTTCCAATGTCGATGCGGATTGCATCGTCGCTACGCTGGCCGCAATTTCATCCAAGTGGTATGCCTGAGATAGCTTTTGCGTGGCCAGCTCTCGCATCCGATGTTTCCTTTCCCTACTCAGTTTCCCATTCCCACCACCGCCCCCATATCCTATTCCCAGTGCAGCAGCCCCTCCAAGCATTCCATTTCCAGCATTTAGGGAGTTGTTGAGGGCTGCGGACGTAAGACCACTGGTTGCGCGCACCGCGAGATTCGTGGCCTCGTCAACGGCCTTGCGGATCTTGAGTAAGTCGTAAAAGACGGCGGGGTCAATCGGATGAGGGCGGGGTGATAGATAGTTGCTATGCGCAAGGGATTCGAGGACCTCTGGGGGCAGCTGAAGCCATGGGCCGTGAAATGAGGAAATGTATCTCCAATGTCTGGAGTACGTCCAAGTCAGCGGTGGAGACTACTTGATAGTAGAATAGTGCTAATATAAAGGACATGCCTCCACTTGAACCTACTTGTTGCGGCATATGATCAATGCGGATGTGGTTGGCTCTGGTGCTTTCGCTTTGCTCTTCGGAGGTGGAGGTGCAGCAGCAGTTGGGGGCACGGCGGCGCCAGCTCCATTGCCATTGACGGTCGCAGATGCATCGGCCTGAGGATTCTTCTTCTTCTTAGCCATTTGGACGCGATTAAAGAGCGCGATCTGAAAAGAATAAACGGTTGAGTGCGGTTGCTGGAGTAATCTCCGCCGAGGATCCCAGGAATTTTCCAGACAGAGTGACCGTGCACGTTTGCTCTTTACATTCCTCCAGTGTTGTTCCTGACGCCTCGTAATTGGGAGTTGTGCCAGGCATCCACGTTTCACTAGAGTTTGGAGTTGTGCGTATTTGGCCGAGGGTGTAGTGAGATGTGTTATTTGGTATCTCTTCGCTTCCGTTTCGAGATTCGAAGTCCTTTGTACGTACATACAAGCTGATGTCACCACTCACAAGGCATAATAGTTTCATATATGTTTGAGGAGATCGCCGTAGCATTTCTGATACGACTCAGACTTCTATTTCATATTGAAACAGGCCGCTAGCACAATATTGTATAAATGTAAGATGGCTTGAATCGTCTGTACGACCTAATTAGACACCGAAGATGCCAGTTGGCAGCCCGCATAGTGGATGCCAACATGACCTAGGCATTTGGGAACTCTAAAACATGTGTCGATTCGTTCTTCGGAAGAATGAGACGGGCAAATCTTATCTTGATATTCTATAGCATGAATACAAACCGCCCTTTTTCAAACTTGGCTGGACTGTCACCAACAAGAGGTATCCCAGCATCCGTTTCGCTCCTCTCCCGCCTCCGAGGATCAGCTGCGCCCTTGTTCGCTCTGGCGAGTACAATCCGCAACAAGAATGCCAGTCCCCCAACCGCTATCATGAAGATCGAGCAGATACTCATGCCTCTAACGTAGAAGGGCGCATCAGTGTCTGGATAAAGCCTCGTCCCGACGAGTGGTCCGCATTGCCCGATGATATTCAACATTGCCATACCAGTGCCCTTCTTTGAGTCAGACTCCTGGTTGTTGATGGTCCAGGTGATTATGATAGTAATGGCGGAGAAGAAACCTGCGGCTGCGGGGTAGATTCCAAGATAGCGCCAGAAGTGATCCCAACGAAAGAAACCAGCAAGGGCAATCAGAAGATAGCCTGATGCGCCGAGGAGAGCATGCAGCATGATGAAGGCGCTACGTGTCTGATAGCGGTCAGAGAGATACGCCGTCAGAAGAACCACAACGAAAGAGAAGAGGTAGGGAGGTGCGGAAAGGGCTTGGGCTTTTAGTGAGGTATGGCCCATGCTATACAATTATCAGTATTAACGCTATGTCTATTCAGACTGAGTTCTTACTCTCTGATTATAGTTGGTAGAAAAACGGGCAGAGAGCTGAACGCTACATTACAGCTAAAAAACATCAACTGCAGGAGTTAGCGATGTCCGGCGCAGGGCGGGAAATTTACTGACAGCAGTCAAGTAGCATTTGGGATCTCTCAAAGTTTGCAGTACTTCTGTGAAAATAAGTCTGCCTTTCTTCTCTCTTGGATATTCACGCTTCTCGTGGCCAACGTCGATATCGATTCCATCGCTTGCCTCCTTCTCCTCTCTGAGCCGCAGTATCGCAACATCTCTTAGTCGTGGAGTGAGAAATGAAGCTGTACCTGGACTATCAGGGATAAGCTCCCAAGCCCAAGCGGCTACGACAACACTTGGGAAGCCTTCGACGAGGAATAGAAGCCGCCAGGGTGCCAAAGGCCCATGTTCCCCCAGCTTCGTAATGAACCAAGCAAGGCTGCTGGCAAAGGAGGTCGCGAGGGGAGCTGCAGAGATGAATAAGCCAGTTCTAAGTGCAAGCTCGTCGCGTCGGAAGAAGAACGATAGATAAAAAGGGACGCCAGGTCCGAACGCAGCTTCGCTAACACCGAGAAGCGCTCGAAGGAACAGCAAGTCGCCAAAAGAAGTCGAAGTTGATTGGAGCGATGCTATTATGCCCCAAGATAATACGCAAAGTGAGATGTAGATGTGAGGAGGCACTATTCGGTACCTGGGCCAAGTTAGCATGTGGAGAATCAATACCTCCGACCAAGCATACAGTAACGTCATCCATTCAAAGACGATATATGTGATATAGAAGGCAGTAAGAAGCCATTCATATTGGGAAGACGATAAAGTCAGGTCTCTCTCAAGCCCAGCTATTCGAGCGTTTCCGATATCTAGGATTGTGTTAGCGATTTATATTAATACGACCCCAGATTACGCAATAGTAACCAGATAATGGAGATGAATTGGCCTTACTGGACCTGTCCAAAAAGCTTAATAGATATAACAGCGCCATGAATAGAACTAGTTTTCTGTCCAAGCTCCTCAATACCGCTTTATCTTCATCTGGAGTATAAAGCTCGTAGCTCTCGACTGACGACCCTTGGGACAGCCGCCGAGACTCTCGCAACAGACTCCTATCCTCGTCTTCGCCATCTATAACATGTTCCTGACTTGGTGTCTCTCCGCTGTCGCCCTTGCCAAAGCTCCGCGATGACATGTTCTTCATCCGATAGCTTTGTCCGGCATGGTCCTGTCCCAGCGTTGCCTCCTCATCTTCTCCTTCCGAGTCCGACGACGGGGTCAGACGCGTATCTCCATCATCGGTGCTTGGGGGCGAGGCCTGAAGGGTACGTGGGAGGGGCGCTGGGGAGCTGGGGAGCATGGTGAGGACTGGAGGGATCCGCAGCGCTGCGGTTCTAGAAGTCGTTGGCAATAAGGAGGCTACATTGGCAATGCTATGGTGAACATAGCGATCGAATGCGTTACATATTCACTCGGAAGTTATCCAGCGATCTGTAACAGAGCTGAAGCCGATGACGTGAGCTGCGTATTCTATTTACGGAGCTAATGCATATTCTAACCAAATCAGGCAATCGTTTCATTAGCCTCTAGCCTTATCCGAGGTCAGATAAATTACAGATATAGCCCTTCATTCTTTACGTTTACATTTCTCTGTAGTTCTGGCTAAAGAACATTTTATTCTGAACCGTGGGTGGGTGCCGGGCACGCAAGTTCGGAACGTTCTGGCATTAATCGGTTCCAAGGTCGGGCATAAATCGAGCTCCTCGTAGTATGTGGATAGAGCATTTACTAAATTATTTGCTAATAATACGCACAAGCGTCAGTTCACCACCAATATCTCCCATGTCATCGACCAGCTCTACGAGCCTCGACCACCTGTCCCACGGTCATTCTCCTGCAATGCTCTGGGCACGGCAGACAGGCGGGAAATTCTTCCATGGTAGGCATGCACGGACCACTTCGCCCGTGTAGAACCTTGGACTATAAAGCTGAGCTAGGTTCCTACATCAAAGCGTCTATCTATCGTCTTCCATTTTTTACCCACGTGATGCGAAATACCACACTGCAACATTCTAACCAACGAGAGCTGGATGGCTCAACTCCGCCTTATGCCTTCACCTACTAATACGATATCAGATATCAATGACTATTGCGCGCAAGCTTCGCGTGATGCATGGTCTGGATTCGGGATCTTTGTTGAGGACATATTCCAGTTCTCCTTGATACCGAGGTAGCCACTGCGCCTGGGCAGCAGCTGCCACGGTTGGGACGAAGAAGCGGACGAATGAACCTTGGGTTTGAAGCATTCGAGGGCGTTCGAGTCTCTATGAGCCACAGGACACGCGTCCGAATCTGGCCTGGAGCATCTTCTGGTGGCGATACTCGGTTGAGATCATGGGAAATTACTTGCCACACTACATCGTTTCGAATTACCCGTTCTCAAATTCAGAATATATTATCCACGCAGAAAGAAAAACTCTATAATGTCTGTTCCTACGAGTTGAAATCGATACTCTTGTCACCCGTGCAATCTATAGTCACCCTATATAGAGACAGGTCATAAGTCTGTGCACACTCGTTTGCCGCTACTTAGGGTGCCCCTATGGGATTTCGAAAATCTAGGCGCATTGTCAAGTCTCAAGCAGTTCAAATCAGATTGCCTCTCAATTGACTGGCTACTTAGGCGCTGGGCCACCCCTTCCAGTGAGCAAGATTGGAGCTAAACATCAATAGATTTAGGTGTCCAGACTTATGGCTTACTATTTCAGTATGGAAGTGCGCATCCCGTGATCCATCCTCGAGCTACAAAAGCATGCATATAGGGGACTTCGCGTTCTCTGGTATCATATTGTCGCTCTTTAAATACTCATTTCTAAGTCTTGTTTGGATGTTTTGTATACCATTATGGAGCCTCTATTCGCGCTCGTCAGAGCGCTTCAACATCTCGCGGTTCGTCTTTGACATCGTCACAACAATACCCACGGCACCATGATGAGTCGTATTTCGCTACCAGTCTCCCGCTCTCAACTGAGTATATATTCCTGCTCCCTCCGTGTCCTCCTCCATTCCTCAGCTTCCCCAGTCAAACCACCACAACGTTCAAGTCAAACCACCACAACGTTCAAGCCAACCCCCCACAACGTTCAAGACAAACCACCACAACGTCCACACCAACCGACACCAAAACCACACTCTCAAACACCGTCAAGATGGGTTGCTCTGGTTCAAAGCCAAGCAGGCCACAGTACGCCGCGCCACAGTACGCCGGTCAGTACTACTACCAGCAGACCCCCGCCCAGCTTGCTCATATCCGCGCCCATCAAGCGGCCGGAAAACGACGTGCTTATGCCTCCTCGGGGTACATCCGGGACCAGAACGCGCGTTGCGTCGCCCACCGAGCCCAAAAGAACAAGGCGCTAACACCGCGCCACGTGAGGCATCATGGGAGGAGTTCGGCGTGGGAGGGCAACGCGGTCTATGGCTATGCGCGCGGATACACGTATGATGCTAGAGGTCACTATTACTATTGATGGATGAAGTTACTTTAGGCGGTTCGGGAAGTTTTTGAGCCCAGAGGGGGTTGTCCTCTCATTGATAGCAATAGTGATTGTTCAAACTTACACATATGCCCTTGACGTGATGACTTCTATGATAATACTTGTGATTCTCTCCACATGTTGTCTGGACGGGATGTTAGAATTTGCATCAATTCTGCCCTTTGTGCATGTGCGTTGCGTAGCGAAAGTGACAGGTATCATTTTCCGCCTTCAAGTGAATGAAGCCCTTTCAGTATTTGCAGGTCAAGCAGCCGACACTCATCGGAAATAAAAGTACTGCAAATGTGGTCTTTGAACAAACAACTCTCACGCAGTTGAAGGCATCAAAGTTCACACGGCGTGTTGTAGTAAGTGAAGGAAATTGAGCTCCCATCTTATGTTGCCCTTATGTTTCTGCGATTTTGCTACGTTAATGACGTTGTAAAAAGTCCTCCAAAACATCATGCAAAATGGAAATAGGATGTAACGTTTGGCATCCTTCAATTCGGGTAGTGGTAGAAACACTGCTTTTACTTTGTCAATAGCGCTGTTTGAAGTCCCCCAAAACATTATACGCAATCGGAGTAGGATGTAGTGTTCCGCATCATCTAAATCAGCCGATAGTAGACAACCTTGTTTCCTTCAATAATAGCGCCGTTAGAAGCCCTCTACAGCCCTAACAAATTTCAAAATATAATGTAAAGTTCCACACCTCTTAATTCACGTCGCGGCCGTAAATCTTGACTTTGCTATCATGATGACGCCGTCGGAAGTCCTCCGGAACCCTGATAAAATCCTGAATATGATGTGAAGCTCTGCATCTCTTGATTCGCGTCGCGGCTTAGAAGTTCTATTTATTGCTTGAAATCAGGAGCTCCCCTGATATTGTTCTTTCTATAGTAGCATGTTGCTATTATAATAACGCCGTCTAAAGTCTTCTAGAGCCGTGACAAAACCCCGAATACTATGTAAAGTTCTGCACCTCTTGACTCCCGTTACGGCTTGTAAGCTCGAATTTCCTGCTGGGAACTGAGCGCTCCTCTAATATTACACTTCAATAAGTGTGACCTTGCTACCATGGTGACGCCGTCTGAGGTCCTCCAAAGACCTGATGAGATCCTTAACACGACGTAAAATTCTACGCCTCCTAAATGGATTACCGGTTAGGATGGTTCGTTTTTGTGCCTGAAATTAATCACTCTTTTCGTATCACGCTTCCTTAAGTGCAACTGTGCTGTTGTGGCGACGCTGTTTGAAGCCCTCTGAATGATGAAGACCAACCGAGGTTTGATGTAAAGTTCTTCGCCTCTCAAATTCATGTAGTGGTTCAAATGCTTCATTTTCCTCCGTAATTCTTGGACTTCGGCTTAGACTACTTCTACTGAAATCGTTCAATGTAATTTACGATACTCAAACACGTTGCAAAATCCCATCACAGATATCGGTATACTGTTCTGCCACGGCTTGTGGTTCCTCGAAGTATTTTAGACAATTTGTTAACACTCGAAGATACTCCAGACAGTGACAGAGCAGTATACACACGTTGGAAGTTTGAACCGTTTCACCAGGTCTCTATCAGTACCCCGAAGAAAAAAAAAAGCAGCACTAGCAGGAAACTGTTTGGACATTTATAATGATGCGCTATTGGAAATGCTTTGTCATGGTATGAAAAATGCGAGTGGTACGATCGTGTGAGACACTGTAGATCGGCAGCCATACCGCCTCCTGAACCGCTCTTTCTTCTTAGTTAGGTATTCATATCCACGACAGTCTTGACTACCTCGTTGACTTCCAGACCCGGAACTGCATTGAGAAGAGAAACCCCAGATTGGGTCGAGAGCTCATCACGATGAGGAAGGCGACCGGTTTACGAAACGAGAGGCAGACGGGCGTTCTTCCGTGCTATAAGCGTGTTGGAGGAACGAGAAGATAAGGACATGGATAGACTGTCTCTCCACAGCATTTGAAAGCCTCAAGTTCGTGAATCAGGCGGTGCTTGAAAAAATGACCGACCAAGAGATTGTTCAGAGTTCAGAGAGGAAAAATGGTTTCCTTGTTACGAGTTACAACTTAAAAGGAATAATACAAATTAACGCGGTAGGGTAGATCGAACGAGTGGCCTTCGCAACTGGACCTGCAGACTAGACTATTACAACCTTCTATTTCCATGTCTCCCACTTCTTTGCCAAATCAAGAGAGTCCATAATCACACACGGTAGTTGTATAATATCCTTTCCAAATTCACTCCTCTCGATTAACGGCAAATTTGCTGCGTTTCCTAATTTCGTACCCCTTCTTGTAGAACAGATACGGTATTGGCGCCATCAAAACGCTAATACAACCGAGAATCGTCAACGTCCAGTGTGTGCCCAGGTTTTTGTAGAAAGGAATGCCGACTACAGTCATCCCACCAGCCACGACATATCGTACGAGAGTTACAAAGGTCAAGGCCGACGCTGCATACATTTCGTAGGAGTCGATGATGTACATATATGCGCTGAGGAATATGCAAATAATGCCGTAGCCGAATGGTACTCCCGCCGCAATGGGAGACCAGATACTGATAGATGACTGCGCAAGGCGGATTAGCACGAGACAGTGGGAAACAACGGATGTATAATGTAACAAATCTAACGCTTACGTAGTCGGTCCACGCCATCCAGAACAAGGAGAGGGGGATGCCGATGGAGCCACCGAACATAGCAAACCACAGACGATACTCTGGGTTGATCTGGGAGCCGCCGTGGGCGCGTATTCGCGCGAGGTCTTTGCGAGTCCACGAATAGACTACTCCAACCAAGGGCATTCCAAGAAGAACTCCAATGAACATGGCTACAAAGAGAACATTTGTTAAGCCTTGCGGTGTTTTGTACACGTCGGAGTAGATGAAGGTAAAACCGTCGAGAAAGGTGAAGAGTACGATATAGAGCATGGTAAGGTAAATCGTCATCAGCATAACAATAGGCTCAAGGGCCAGAGCGAATGGCCTTGTCAATGCTACCCGCAGACGTTGCCAGAGAGTTTGGTGTACGATTTCGCTCTCTGCCCGGTATCGGTCATCTCCAGTAAGTCTACGAAGATGTTGGGCTTTCCACTTCAGCAGCAAGAGAGGAAAGGTTTCAGGTTGCAAGAGAATGACGAGGGTCAGGACGGTTCCTGAAATAATCAAGATGACCCACTCGGTCCAACGCCAGCTTGGAGCTCCTGTACCCATGTCTGAAGGTGGCAATAATGTTAGCAAATCATTCAGAACCAGAGTGAGGAAGCCATTGTTGATTTCTTGTAACAGGTACTGTTGCGTGAGATACTTCTTCAGGGGATTCCAAGACACCACTGTGGTTGTCTCGAAACACTCCCTGAGTAGTTTTTCAAACAGACAGATTGCTGAGAAACTTTTCATCTGTGTCGGGGGCTTACGTACAACTTCCGATCACTGGTCCCAAGGTGGGACCTCCAAATCCCGAAATTGCAAAAAGGGGAAATGCGTAGGTTTTCTCCAAGGGATTCCAGAGGTCTGACACGGTGCCTCCAGCGCATGTAAGGGGGGGGGATCCGAAGAATCCGGCGAGAAATCGGAATGTGATTTGAGCACCGATATTTGGAGCGAGTCCAGAGGCCATGATGAAGATCGAGAATAAGACAAGAGATCCTATGTATACCAAGTTTCTCCCAAACGTCTCGGACAATGGTCCCGCAAATAAGGCTCCAATTCCAAATCCTATTAAGTAGTTTCCTGCAACTTGGGTGAATCTAGGTCCATCTGGTACTATAGTGGAGGAGTAGGGCACATACCTGTTGCCAATGCCTCAACAACTTCACTTACCCCAAATTCTGCAGCTGCTTGAGGTAAGATTGCAGCATCAATCGAAGATGATGCAGTTACCACAAACGCAATTGCTGCAACCATCAATGTAGTTCCAACTCGCACTAGCTGGCTGAAGTTGTGTGGATTCATCGGGTCGTCCTCTCCGTCCCACCCAACCACAAAGACATGCCCGCCTTTGCCCTCCCTGGTAGTCCGATCTCTTGCACTGATTCCAGCCAGTGAATATCCGAGAGCAGTCTTCTCGGTATGATGTGTCGGCGTCAGCATGAGTAAGTCGGGTTGCTGTGGGATTCCATGCGGCGAAGTTACTTCATTTTCTTGCGAGCCCAATTTGTCGCTAGGGGCTGAACTATTCTTTTCTTCCTGGCTACCAGGCCGAGGAATAGACATGGCAGACTCATTGGCACCATTTTCTGGCACGCCAGCCGCTTTTTCTTGATCTTTTTGAAGCTGTCTCTCTACCGCCTGGCCAATGCGTCGATATTGAAGGTACGAAAACATGATGGAGGTATAGAACTCTGCGAAAAACGATACGAATGAAAAGGAAAATCGAGGATAATATAATAAGATAACTATGGACTTACCCTTGTACCCTTGTATGAAAAGAAAGCTCGGCGGATAATCGGCCTTCCGGGCTATCTTTAGTGGGTATCCCGGTATGCAGCATTTGGACCCACTTGTATTGCTGCATTAAAAATAATAGCTTGCTCGACGCATTTCTAATCAGATCCGATACAGGATGCCTGTTCTAGAGGAAAGTATCTTCTTTGTTGGTATAGGTAGATACGTCGCAGGAGAGCATTCACATGTCCACTTGTTAGATTTCCACAGTGATTGACGGCTAAGGAGCAAGAGCAACTACTTGTGCGCCATCTACGTGCCCTCTCGCCCTCGAGGGCGATATGTGAATACGGTGGTAGGTTCACGAGGGTTTCTTTCACCCATGCAATCATCCAGAACCGCACTCAGCAATCATTCCAGACCGCGATCGTCGTTCTGACGTGAACAGACATCGTTTATCTACCGTTCGGCATCATTATGATGCTTTATGGGCACCTGGCGAGCTCGGCCACCGTACGACGGAGAAGCTGAAAGCTCCCCGTGAGCATTTTACGCCGCTTCCGTTCCAAGGCTGGTGTGAAAGGTGAAATGTGTGACTCATATGTAGAGTTGTGGGGATTGCGAGTGAAGATCAGAGCGTTTAGCAATGTGGGTCCAGACCTAAGAGATCACAATATGGACTTGTGAGGCCAACGTGAATGCGGAGGAGGCGGGC